GCTTGGGGGAGTGAGGGGGGGCGGGCCTTGACCCGCTCCAGAAAATACCACGTAGGGTTTTAGGGGAGGTGGGGGAAGTCCTTGAAACCGCCCCGTGGCCTCTACATCAGAGGACCTGAAGTTCCCCAGCAGGGTTAGGGGCTCTCTAACCTTATTCCAGGGGACTGGCATGGGGTAACGCCTTAAGTCATCTGTGAGCACCCACATCTGGGACCTCGGAATCCCCATTAGGAGTTGGAGAAATCAAACACTTGCGGATCCCTGATAGGAGGTTGAGACTCCCTGTGGGTACAAGCCTTGGGGGAGACTAGGGACTGGAGGGAGGTCTTTACCAGACCCAGAAAAGGGGGCCCTTGAAACTTCCACTGCATTTGGAAAGCCTTTTAAGTTTTCACAGGGTTCTGCTATGGGGGACCTTGAAACTCTCACTGCAAATCTAACAGGAAACCTCATATTCTGGGTTTGATAAGGGCCTGTACATCTTTTTGGGAGATGGCCCGGGTGATCTGGAAATTTCTAGACGGTTTGGATATAGAGAGCTTCCAAATTCCTATGTGTGTCAGGAGGTGGGGAGGTGAGGGGAAACCTCAAAACTTGCCTTTTGGGGCCAGCCAGTAACATGGATCCCACGTACCTGACAGTGTGATTCAAGTCCCAGACCCAGCGGCTTGAAAAACATGCTTGGCACGTGTGCATGTGTGTCCAAAACCCCGAGAGAATAGAGAAGGAATCCGTCACAGTCATCCTCCCAGGGGGATTCTCTTTCTCTCTCTCTCTCTCTCTCTCTCTCTCTCTGTCTCTGTCTCCAGTGAGAGCATGTACCCTATAACTTACTATTCAAAAAACAAAACTCAAAGCAACTCTCATTTTGAAGCTCACATGCCTTTTTTTTTTGACCTGGGAAGCTGCCTGTTATTGGAGACAGGTGAAGAGTGGATGGTCTGGATCGCAGAGGGGGTTTGCACCTAAGCTCCTCTGCTTCCAGGGCTTAGGGAGGAGGGATTCAGGGCCCAGAGACAGCAGCTAACCCCACGAAGGCCAGAACCCCGATTCCTGACCCGCCCCTCTGTTCCAGGTGTCCCTGATGGCGGCAGAGAAGGAGGAGAAAGATCGGAACCAAAAGCGAGAACAGCAGCTTCAGGGTGAGGAGGAAGCTGGCCAGGGTTCCAGGGAGAGCGGGAGGAAGAGGGGGTGCACGCGGGGGGATCGAGGGTTGGACATTGGGAGAGAGTCGTCCCAGGGCGGGCGCGGTGGGGGCGTGGCCACACAGAGACACGCCCTGAAATGTCCCGCCCCCAGGAGAGATTGCAACTTTGAATGACAAGCTGCAGCAGACGTTGGCAGACCTGGACCGACTGAGGTTAGTGACGCTTCCGCGGGCCATACCCCAAGACCCAATGTGAGGGCGGGCCCGTGTCCCAACCCTGAAAACATTTCCCAGATTCAGAAAGTAAGCCGAGAGGAAAGGGGCCAGGTGATGCCGGGTCGTGCTGGCCTTTCTGAAGTGCAGGGACTGGAAGTCATGTCATTAAGGTGACCCTGGGAAGGGACATCTGTTGGCCCTTGGATTGTTTGGTTATCTGGGGGGTCCTATCTGGCTCAGGTAGTCTGTCCTTCGTTCTCGAGCCAACTGTGGATGGATGTAACAATCTTTATTTTAATATTTTTTAGAGAGAGTTTTGCTATAGGGCTCATGCACTTGTGGGAGAGACAGAGACAGACAGAGAGACAGAAAGTGAGAAATCACTACCCCCAGAGGGTTGGGAGGATGGCCACGCTGCAATCCCTTCTCCTCCATTCTCTTCTTGAGATTTTGGGCACGTACGCACATGCGCCGAGCATGAGTTTCAAGCTGCTGGGTCCGGGACTCGAACCGCAGTTGACTACTTGGGAGTCCAGCGATGTAACCATGTCATCTGCTGACCCCAATGGATGTGACGATCTTTATGTCTGAAGGCAATACCAGCAGGTGGTATGGTGGTTGGAGTGCTGGATTCCCACATGGACAACTGTGGTTCAAGACCTGGACCCGGTGGCTTGAAACTCACAAATAAATAGATAAATAACTCACAAACAAATAAATAGATAAATAAATAAATGTTAAAAAAAAAAAAAAAAAAGGAGCCACTAAGCACCAAGGGACCTGGCAGCTTGCTTTCTCACTTTCCTTTTTTCTCTCTCTCTCTTTCTTTGATCAAATTAAAATAACAATAATAATGAGAATAAATAAAATTGAGGCCAGCAGGTGGCATGGTGGTTAAGGAAGCTGAACTACTACGTGGCTGACTGCGGTTTGAGTCCTGGACCTGGCAGCTTGGTCTCACTTCCCTTCTTTCTGTCTGTCTCTGGTCACCTTTAAGAAAAAAGAAAAAAGGAATAACAATGGATAAGATTAAATAAAATAATTATTTAAAAAGTAATAAATAAAATTAAGTAAGTAGGGAGACCAGCAGTTGGCATGAGGCCAGAACGTGGCTGACTGCGGTTTTAGCCAACCATGGTTTGAGTCCCGGACCTGGTGGCTTGCTTTCTCACTTCCTCTCTCTCTCTCTCTCTGTCAAATTAAAAATAAATAAATGAATAAATAAAATTAAAAAAAGAGATAATAATCATTAAAATTAAATAAATAATTCTTTAAAAAATTAAGTAATTATTTTTAAAAAGCCGAATAATTCTTTTAAAATTATTTATTTAATTTTAATGATTATTATCTCTTTTTTTAATTTTATTTATTCATTTATTTATTTTTAATTTGACCAGAGAGGGACAGAGTGAGAAAGAGACAGAGAAAGCAAGAAAGGGAGCTGCCAGGTCCAGGGCTTGAACCATGTTCAGCCATGTGGGAGTCCAGCATCTCAACCACCATACCACCTGCTGGCCCCAATAAAATATTTCTTTTTAAATAATTATTTATTTATTTACTTATTTTTAATTTGATACAGGGCACATGTGCTCACCAGAGAGGGCAGAATATGAGAGAGCAAGCTGCCAGGTCTGGGACTAGAACCATGGTTGGCCATGTGGGAGTCCAGCATCTCAACCACCATACCACCTGCTGGCCCCAATAAAATATTTCTTTTTAAATAATTATTTATTTATTTAAGTCCATTTGTTGCTATTTTTTAATTGGAACAGAGAGAAACAGAGAGAGAGAAAAAGAAAGGGAGAAAACAAGCCACCAGGTCCGGGATTCAAACCACAGTTGACCATGTGGGAATCGAGTCTCTTTAACCACCATGCCACCTGCTGGTCCCTAAAATAAAAAAAAAAAAAAGACAAGGGCCCAGCAGTTAGTGTAATGGCTATGTCGCTGAACTCCCACGTAGTTGACCGCAGTTCGCGTCCCGGACCCGGTGGCTTAGAACTCATGCCGGGCGCCTGTGCATGCGTGCCCAAGATCCTGAGAGAAGAATGGAGGAGAAGGGATTGTGGCGTGGCCATGCCCCCTGGGGGGTGATTTCTCGCTTTCTGTCTCTATGTCTCTCTCTGTCTGGCAAGCGCACATACCCTATGTCAAAAACCTCTCGAGAAAAAAAAATAATAAAAATAGTACAAGAAAAGAAAAAGACAAGATTAGCCATCTGCCCTAAGAGCTGATGGTGGTGTGTTGGTTATGGACTCTGGACTCCTACATGGTCAATAAGGGTTCGAGTCCTGGACCTGGCGGCTCGCTTTCTCACTCTCTCGCTTTCTCACTCTGTCCCTCTCTGGTCAAATTAAAATAAAGAAATACATTTTTAAGGAAAGAAGAAAATAGGCCCGAGGCACGCGGAAGGCACTGAATTTCACCCTGACCCCCTTTGCTCTCAAAAATCCCATTGTCCCAGGGGTTCAAGTTTGGCACGCAGAGAAGGACAATATCGTCCCTGGGATCACTCAGCCAAACTGCCTTCCTCAGTGACTTGGTTGGGGGGTGGGAGGGGTGGGGAGGTAGGAATGAACCTAAAGTGACATCAGCTGTTGCAGGCCTGGCATCTAAGTTGTCCCCCGTCTCCACTCCAGGAGAGAACTAAGCAGGAGTAGAAACTCAGCCCCCAGCTCGGTGGGGAGCCTGCTAATTCTCTTCCTGGGCCTCTATGCTCTGCTCCTCTGAGATCCCAGCACGCCAGCCACGGGTGAGGAGGGGGTGCTCGACGAGGAGGGGGTGCCCGGGAGAAGAGGGTGGGGAGGGGGCGGTAGGGAGTCAGGGGCTGGCAGGTGCGCTGCAGAGGAGGGGCCTGGGCGCAGGGCGGAGGGATCTTAGGGGATGGGGCGTGGTTTCCTGGGGCGTGTCCGTGTGGGCGTGGCCTAGAGGGGGCGGGGCCAGCGTTCTGCTCTGAACTCTGCTCTGAAACTGCTTATCTTGTTCCGTAGGGCGCAACCCGCATTGATTCGGCTTCGGTCCGGTGTTGACGTCCCCTTGAGGAGGACATGGGGCACACGGTTGGAGGAGGGGGAGGGCACAGGATCCCGGGGGTGGAGGGAAGCAAACGTATGATGCAGCACCAAAGCTGGGAACAAGGGACAGCCCTGGCTTGGAGAAGCAGCTGAGTTGATCCAGGACTGCCTCCCGCCCCTGCCTGTGTCCTACCTTGGGCTTGGCCGTGGCGTGGGGAAGAGGCACGTGCTTCTTGCCATTACGGTTTTTAGAGGGTCACTTTCTTGCTCCCCTGAAAATAAACACCTCCTCGGGAGAAAAAACTCGAGTTTCTGGATCTTTGTGAAGTACTGAGGGTTATTGAGTGAGAGTAAATAACCCTCGATTTCCCGTCTCCGTATGTTTTTACACACCCATGCGGTTGGGATGGGCAGGTGATGGGGTGGTTAAGCTGCTGGACTCCCGCATAACTGACTGTGGTTCGAGTCCCGGATGTGGAGGCTTGCTTTTTCACTTTCTCTCTCTCTCACTCTGGTCAAATTAAAATAAAGGAATGAATGAAGTAAAATAAAATAATGCTTTTAAATAAATACATAAAATGGAAAAGAAATCCATGGGTTGGGGCAGGAACTGTCCCCCCTCTGGGATTATCTTTGAAGCAGGCATGACTCCATCTTGGAGGAGCATCTCCGGGATGAACTGTGAAATTCCTATGACTGGGAACCTGCCTTCCTATGGTCCTTAAAACTCCTCTTCTCCCAATTACATTAAGATAAGACCCAATCACTGGACCTTGCCTGGAGCCATAAAGACCATGAACATTCCATTGTGATCAGAACATGCCCTCAGAAATGATTAATCTGGGGACCAGCAGTTAGCGTAATGGCTATGTCGCTGAATTCCCATGTAGACGACTGTCGCGGAATGCCCAGGTAGACGCCTGTGGTTCGAGTCCCGGACCTGGCGCACGTGCCCTATAGCAAAAACCTCTCCAAAAAAAAAAAAAAGTGCTAGTATCTGTCTACAGAGGACCAACCAGGGGCGTCGTGGTTACGGCAGTTGGTTCAAGTCCCAGCTCCGGCAGCTTGAAAAACACTCCCGGCATGTGCGCATGCGTGCCCCACACCGCAAGAGAATGATTGAAGAGAAGGGACTGCAGCGTGGCCATAACCCCTGGTGGGAAGACGGGAGCTTTCAAAGTTCTCACCCAGACCGGAAGGGTGGAGTCTGGTGAATGAGAGGGAAATAAGGGGTCAGAGGAGCCTGCTCGGGGCAGGGGCAGTGTTTAGGGGTGGGGGTCCCTGCAGGGAGAGGCTGTGTTCATTTACTGGGCCTGGAGGACAATGCAGAAGTGCAGGACGGAGTAACCGTGGCCCCAGTGCCGAGGACAGGAAGTTACAAAGACAATAGTCGAGATTCCTCCAGCGGGACTTGGAGGAAGGAAGATAACAGCAGAGGAAGAGATGAGGGACTGGGGGGCTGGGGGACTGGGGGGAGAATGATTTCTCAGTTTCCTTCTCTCTTTCTGCCTCTCTCCGGAGCACGGAGCACGCACGCTCTCTGGCAAACCGAAAACAAAAGGAAATAAACAAACCACCAAAAGACCCTGCTGGGTAAAAATGCTCTCTCTCTCTGTCTCTCTGTCTCTCTGTCTCTGTCTCTCTGTCTCCGTCTCTCTAGCTCATGACACAGAGATGCTTGGGCCAGCCAGGTAGTCATGATCTCACGTGGCCAAGGGCGGTTCAAATCCTGGCCCCAGCAGCTTAAAGAACAGACCAGGTGCGGCCGGCAAGTGGCGTTTGCTGGTTAAGGTCTCTCTGTCTCTCTCTCTCTGTGTCTCTGGAAAGTGGAGGTGCCTTAGCAAAAATCTCTCTCCCAAAACAACAACAAAGGCTGTGCCTGCTTTTGTGAGGAGGGGTGGCAGCTTTCAGTCTGCAACCCCTTCTCCTCCATTCTCCTCTCGGGATCTTGGGCTTGTATATGTGTATGCACTCACATACACCCGGCGTGAGTTTAAGCCACCGGGTCCGGGACTTGAACCGCGGTCAACTACGTGGGAGTCCAGTGACACAGCCATTACGCTAATTGCTAGTCCCTCTTTTTATTTAGTTTTGAGTCTCTCTCTCTCTCTCTGTCTCTCTCTCTCTTAAGGTTTTCCACATGCATTTGCCAAGCGGAGGGAGGGAGAGAGGGAAAGTGAGAAGTCAGCCCTCAGGAAGGGCAACCACGCTGCAATCTCCTCTCAGGATCTTGGGCACACATGCACATGTGCCGGATTTTCAAGATTTTTTTTTTTTAAGATGTTTTTGCTATAGGACGCATGTGCTCTCCAGAAAGAGAGAGAGAGACAGAAAGCAAGAAATCACCCCCCAGGGGGGATGGCCACACCACAATCCCTTCTCCTCCATTCTCCTCCCGGGATCTTGGGCACGCACGCACACGCGCCCGGTGTGAGTTTAAGCCACCGGGTCCAGGACACGAACTGCCGTCGACTACGTGGAAGTCCAGCGACATAGCCATTACGCTAACTGCTGGTCTGTCCGTTCCCCCTCCTCACCCCCCCCACGTATCTTTCTGAGCTGCTTAAAATGAAAGGTCCATAAAGTCCAGGGACCAACAGATGGTGTCATGGTTACTCTGTTAGACTCCTACATGGCTAACCACGGTTCGATTCCTGGACTCGGTGGCTGAGCATGTGTGCCTGTGTGCCCAAGATCCTAAGAGGAACATGGAGAAGGGCTTGTGGCCTGGCCATCCCCCCAAGGGGTGATGATTTCTCACTGTCTGTCTCTCTATAGGTGCGAACACACGCACCCTATAGCAAAAATCTCTCTTAAAAAAAAAATAGTTGGGGACCAGCAGGTGGCATAGTAGTTAAGGACGCTGGACTCCCACATGGCTGACTGTGGTTTGAGTCCCAGACCTGGCAGCTTGCTTTCTCACTCTCTTTCTCTGGTCAAATTTAAAAATAAGTAAATAAACAAATAAAATAATTCTTTATTTTAAAAAAAGTCAAGGAACCAGCAGTTAGCATAATGGCTATGTCGCTGGACTTCCATGAAGTCAACCACAGTTCGCGTCCCAGACCCGGTGGCTTAAACTCACGCCAGGCGCGTGTGCGTGCATGCCCAAGATCCCAGGAGGAGAATGGAGGAGAAGGGATTGCGGCATGGCCATCCCCCCTGGGAGGTGATTTCTCGCTTTCTGTCTCTCTGTCTCTCTCTGTCTGGCGAGCGCATGCGCCCTATAGCAAAAACCTCTCAAAAAAAGAAAGAAAAAAGAAAAAAAGTCAAAGCAAAGTCCTGGAACGGAAATACTCTTGATAGGAGAGCATTGAGGGAGACCCCAGGAGTGGGCCATGAAGAGGAAGGTCCTTGTAGAAGGGAGGAGGGCAGGCGAATGGGGTTTGGATGCTCAGAAGAAAAAGAACCCCTCGGCTGATTGTAAAAGGCCCTGAATCCGATTCACGTTAGAAGATTGCCCCCTAGCGGCCAAACGGAGAAGGGGCAGGAAGGTGGAGCGGGTCTCTGCTTTCCTCCACGCTCGCGGCAGTCCGCCTCCCAGCAGGTGTAGCCAGGCCAACTTTGGTCAATAGAGTGGCCTCCCATTTCCCAGCCTTGGTTTCCCCATCCACAGTATGAGGACAAAAATCCCCCTTCACAGGGGCCAGTAGGTGACATAGTGGTTAAGGGCGCTGGACTCCCACGTAACGGACCGATGTTCGAGTCCCAGACCTGTCCACTTCTTTTCTCACTTTCTCTCTCTCTCTCCCTGTCCATCTGTGGTCAAATTAAAATAAATAAGCAAATGGGAACCAACAGTTGGCCTAATGACTACATCACTGGACTCCCACGTAGTCAACTGCAGTTCAAGCCCCGGACCTGGTGGCTTAAACTCACGCCAGCCGCATGTGCGTGCGTGCCCAGGATCCCAAGAGGAGAATGGAGGAGAAGGGATTGCGGCGTGGCCATCCCCCCTGGGGGGTGATTTCTTGATTTCTGTCTCTCCGTCTCTCTGTCTTTCTGGCGAGTGCACATGACCTATGGCAAAAACCTCTCCAATAAATAAATAAATAAAATATCCAAATGGATAAAGTTCAATAAAATGATTTTTTAAAGAATTATTTTATTTAACTTTATTTATTATTATTATCATTATTATTTTCTTTCTTTTTTTTTTTTTTTTTGGAGGGGATTTCACTATAGGGCGCGTGCGCTCGCCAAACAGACAGAGAGACAGAGAGACAGAAAGCGAGAAATCACCCCCCAGGGGAGATGGCCACGCCGCAATCCCTTCTCCTCCATTCTCCTCTCGGGATCTTGGGCACGCACGCACACGCACCCCGTGTGAGTTTCAAGCCACTGGGTCCAGGACTCGAACCACGATCGACTACGTGGGAGTCCAGCGACAGAGCCATTACGCTAACTGTTGGTTCCCTCATTATTATTTTCCAGTTTGATCAGAGAGAGATAGAGAGAGAGAGAGAGAGGAAGAGAGGAAAACCCAGGTCCAAGACTTGAACCGCGGTTGGCCATGTGGGAGTCCAGCGCCTTTAACCACCATGCCACTTGCTGGCCCCAATAAAATGATGTTTTTTAAAAGCCATTAGGTGCAGGCATGTAGCATGGTGATGGAGGCACTGGATTCCCACATAGCTGACAAGGGTTCAAGTCCCGGACCTGGCAGCTTCCTTTCTCACACTCCCTTTCTCTCGGTCTGTCTCTCTCTCTGGTCAAAAATGAGAGAATAATGATAATAAATAAAATATTTTAAATAAATAAATCTTAAAAACCTGTACAGATGCGGTCCTGTGCACTTTGTATGTACAAGGGGTGGGTTGGGGGGGCAAACTGAGGCTTAGACGGTAGCGCGTGGTTTGCAGAAGCAAAAGTGGAACCCAACACCCACAGCTTTTTTTGAGCTGGACCGAATGGGTTGGCCTCTGGACAGAGCCCAAAACCTCCAGAAGGACATGGGAAGCCACAGTCGGGCGGGGCAGAACCGTGGGTGTCCCTGGCGCCCCCAAGGTGCCAATTAAATGCTCGTGGCTGTCTGGGGCAGAGCTGTGCACCGCGGCATGGCTGAGCTGGGGCCGGGGCCCGAGCCCGGGCGCGCCTGGAGGGTGCTCGCCCTGTGCGGGGCTGCAGTGTTCCTGGCGGCGGCTGCAGCTGGAGGGGCCCTGGTGGCCTGGAATTTAGCTGCCTCGGCTGCCCGGAAGCCTCGTTGCCCTGAGCCAGGGGTCAATGCCACCGTGCAGCCTGGGGACCCAGCACCCGAGGAGGTGGAGGAGCTCCGGCGGCGGCTGGCAGAGGTCACCGAGCGCGAGGACGCCCTGACCAGGAGGCTGGACCAGGCCGAGGGTGTCCGTCGGGAGCTGGAGAAGGCGCTCAAGGCTTGCGAGGGCCGCCAGGTAGGTGGAAAGGCGTTGGGGGCTGCGTACACACCCCCAGAATTGCTGCCCTGGCCTCAGTTTTCCCAAACCTTTTTTTTTCCTTAGAAGGTTGTTTTTTGGCTGTTGTTTTGTGTCGTTTTTTCCCTTAGGGTGTGTGTGCTCCCTGGAGAAAAAGAGAGACAGAGACAGTGATAAGAAAAGTGAGAAACTGTAAGACGAGCAGGTGGCCGGGTGGTTAAGGCGCTAGACACTCCCACATGGTCGACAATGGTTCGAGTCCCGGACCTGGTAGCTTGCTTTCTCATTCTCACTTTCTCTGTCTCTCTGCGGTCAAATTAAAATAAATAAATGAGTAAAATTACGCCAACTGCTGGTCCCCCGTGAATAAATAACATTAAATAGATAATTCTTAAAAAAAAAAAAAAAAAAAAAAAAAAAAAAAAGAAAGAAAAGAAAAAGAAAAAAGTGAGAAATCATTCCCTTGGGGGGATGGCCACACCCCAGTTTCTTCTCCTCTCCTCCATTCTCCTCTTGGGATCTTGGGAACACACGCACATGTGCCGGGTATGATTTTCTTTCTTTTTTTTTCTTATTCTTTTATTTAACTTTATTCACCTGTCGTTATTTCATTTTTTTATTTTATTGAAATTGTCCAGACAGACAGAGAAGGAAAGTGAGAAAGCAAGCTACCAGGTCTGGGACTTGAACCCCGGTCAGCCATGTGCGAGTCCAACTGCTTTAACCACCACGCAACTGCCAGCCCCTCGGGTATAATTTTGAAGCCACCAGGTCTGAGATTCGAACCAAGTGGCCAGCCACATAGGAGTCTAGCCATGTCACTGCTCTGCCATCTGTTGACCCCCAATTTTTTTTTTAACTTAATTAATTTTGTTCTGGGCATCTCCCAGGAAAAAATGGCCATGCCCCAATTTTCTCTCGGCCACTCTTCTCTTGGGATTTTGGGCATGCTTGTACACACGCCAAGTATGATTTTCAAGCCACCAGGTCCGGGATTCGAACTGCAGAACTGGCCATGCGGAATCCAGTGCCTTAACCATAACACCTACTGGCCCTCCTTGATTATTTGAATTGAGAATAGTACCATGCTCCTATTCCAACTCCTACCATGCCAGGGCACGCTGGAGTCTGCCTTCTGGTTAATGGTGGCTGGGAACCCCCTAAACCCCTCAGCCCATCTGGGGAGGCCCCGTGCTAACCCTCGGCCGTCGGCCCACTCAACTCCTCCCCACCTGTTTCCAGCAGCGCTATTTTGAGAGAGGGACACTTGTGTCACCTGTAATTAGGGAGGTTAAAATTGGCTTTTGGGGGGAGACACCCGCCAGGTCCTGCCTTTATGCCCGGGCCACCCCCTGAAAACTTTCTTAACCCTTCCCAGTTCTGAGCCTTGCAGAAGAACCGTCTTCAAAATCCTAGCTATGTAACATTTACTGAGTGACACAGCAGGTAGCCTGGAGATTTAGGCGTTGGACTCCCACATGGCTGACCACAGTTTGAGTCCCGGACCTGGCAGCTTGCTTTCTTACTTTCTCTCTCTCTCTCTCTCTCTCTCTCACTCTGTCTCTGGTGAGCGCACATACCCTATGACAATCTTAAAATTAAAATAAATAAAATAAATAAAGAAGAAGAGCAAGATTTAATTATTTTAAAAATACGTACCTCTGTGTACCCCACCTAGCAGAGGTTGGGTAGCCTTTGCCTTTTATTTGTATGAAGCATTATTTTATTTTATTTATTCATTCACTCATTTTACTGTGACCAGAGAGACATACACAGAGAGACAGCGAGAGGGAAAGTGAGAAAGCAAGCTATCAGGTCCGGGACTCGAACTGCAGTTGGCCATGTGGGACTGTCCAGTGCCTTAACCACCAAGCCACCTGCTGGCACCTTTTTTAAAACAAATAATTATTAATTTTATTTTATTTATTATTTAATTTGATCAGAGAGAGAGAGAGAGAAAGGGAAAGTGAGAAAGCAAGCTGCCAGGTCTGGGACTCGAACAGGATTACCAATATGGGAGTCCAGCACCTTAACCACCATGCCACGTGCTGGTCCCTCTTTTTACTTTATTTTTAAAAATTTGCTATAGCGGGGACCTGCAAGTGGTGTGGTGGTCAAGGTGCTGGACACTCCCACATGGCTGATCATGGTAGCTTGCTTTCTCACTTTCCCCCTCTCTCCCTCTCTGTGTCTGTCTCTCTCCAGTCAAATTAAAATAAATGAATGAATAAATGAAATAAAATAAAATAAATCCTTAAAAATATTTACTACATGCAAAAAAATTTTTTGGAGAGGTTTTTGCTATGGGGCACGTGCACTCGCCACACAGACAGAGAGAGACAGAAAGCAAGAAATCACCCCCCAGGGGGGATGGCCACACCGCAATCCCTTCTCCTCCATTCTCCTCTTGGGGTCTTGGGCACGCACGCACACGCGCCAGCGTGAGTTTTAAGCCACCGGGTCCAGGACTCGAACCATGGTCGACTACATGGGAGTCCAGTGACATAGCCATTACGCTAACTGCTGGTCCCATGCCAAAAAATTTTTAAAAAGTTTGCTATAGGGCATGTGCACTTGCTTGGGAGAGAGAGAGAGAGAGAAAGAACATGAGAAAGCACCCCGTTTGGGGACTGAGATGGGCAATGGTCAGTGTGAGTTTAAGACACCAGGTCCGGGATTTGAACCATGGTCGACTACATGGGAGTCCAACAACATAACCACTACACCACCGGTTGGTTCTTCAGCCCTTGCATTAAAAAAAAATCAAAGTGGGCCCCTACTCCTTTTCTGCCTGCCCAAGAGAAGAGCTTGAGGTTAAGGGCAGCATGTCGGGGGTTCGAATCCTCCCATTGCCCCTTGCTGGAATATGATTTGAGAAGGCGAAGCCAATTGTTTTGTAGGGTGTCCCACGCAAGTGACCCACACATATGCCAGAAACCCCATCGTTATTAACCATCAGATCGGCGTATTTCGGGTGGAAAACCCCGGCCGATCCCATTTCATGGTGGCTTGGGGAGATGGGACGATGAACTTGGGCAGAGACACCCTCCTCCAGGCAGGCAGCTGTCATCACTTGGTCCCTCAGGCTTCGGGGCTCACTTTTGTGTTTAACAAAAAAGAGGACATTCCAACAAAGCTCAGGCAATGGGGTCACCAGTGTCCTTTCACTGTTCCCCAAAAACGGGGAGATCAATTTACACCCCTTTGACACCTCCTGGATTCATTTCTCCTGGATTCATTTCCCCTCGCCTTTGCAGAACCGGCTTCAGACCCAACTAACGGCCCTGAAGGTCGAAATGGACGAGGCGAAGGCCCAGGAGACGCAGATGGGGGCCGAGAACGGGGCGCTGACAGGTGCGTAGTGGGGAAATTTGTAAGTGGGAGGAGTCAAGAAAGGTCCTAATAAATACGCAAATGTAACGCTCAGATGCAGATTTATGCTAACGACATGCAAATAAACACAAAAATAGGGAAGAAATGCAAATAGCATGCATTGGGCACGCAACTATGACAAAAACGACGCAAATGCAACAAGACAGGAGACCGCCTTGTAAACGACTCACAAAAACAGTGCAAAGCTTTGAAAAGCAATGCAAATGACACGTGCGCTTAATGTAAATAAAGTAAAATATGCAAATGACATGCAAACTACAAGCCCAGACGTGGGTGTGCGTGGGGCGGACAGGGGGGCGGGCGGCGGGTCTCCAGGCTGATCC